GACACCCGCATCCTAATTCTTTTGGTAATCTACCCAATACTATTAGACTTTCTGAATTTTCTTATTTAAGCTCATTTTTTTTTCCTTTGGTTTGTTTTTTCCGTCGATCTTGTTTTCCGTGCTGAGCACCAATGCTACCAACGCCAGGAAGGCAGCTCCCACACCTGGACCCTACCTATCGACCCATCAACTCATGAACCGGGGACCAACGGCTTTACTTCCCATCCGAAGGAAGGCGTGATCAGAGATGTTATGCCTCAGAACATCTCAGCGGCGCCGGCTGGGATTGATCCCAGGCCTGCTGGGGTGAGAGGTAATCACGCTTACCACTACACCACCGGCGCCGTTATTTAAGTTCATTTGATGATTATAATATCTCATTAGTCAAATTTGAAATACCTTAGGACTTAATATCAGAATAATTTTGAGATTTTAGTCAAAACTATGCTGATTTTTTCTCAGAGATTTTCTCAGAATTTGGTAAAAATATTGCAGCACTTCTTTGGAATGTGAAAAATTCTAAAAACATACCTTCAAATTATGAGAATATTAAACATTTTTCATGCAAATTTTTCCAGGGACCATAATATGTTTTCCAAATCAGCGATATGTATTTTTTTTTAAATCTCACATGTCAAGTTACAAATTATATTCGAAGACTATGGCAGTGCCTCAGAATCATGGAAATTTTCTTAATTTTTTTAGACTTGTGTTAAGGGGCTGTCCATATACAAGGTGGACAGTTTAGAAGGGGAGGGGAGCAAGAAAATGTTTCAATACATCAGTGGCTGTTCATTGGAGTGCTTCATTTTGAAAAAGAAAAATTGTTAACATTCTTATAGGCAGTGTTGGAAAAGTTCGCGATATTTCACGAAGTTCACCAAGGGAAAAGTTCGCGAATCATAGTGCGTTTTCGCGAACTTTTACATCACTGCTTATAGGCTACCCTCCAGTTCGATTCATAGCCCCACAATTTGAACTTGTGCAAAAAATGGTAAAGATTAAAGAAGGTTTAGAGGTCGTGCAAATGGTTTGAAATGTGTATGGGAATTACTACGGAAGAATTTTAAAAATCCTTTATATCGCCAAACTTTGCTTCTGCTGATCCAAATGTCCAAACGATAGAAATACAAACAAAAATAGCAAAATAGGATAGATTGCCAGATTTAAACGTCCAAGACAACAGCACCAATTTAAAAAAAAGGCTTGATAATCATTGTAATGACAAACACATTTCAATTTTTGCTTCACTTGGACAACTAGAACCAAAGTTTAAGCGATGTTAGTGAAACTCAATAATTTCCCACAGTAATTCACCGAAATCCTCATAAAAACTTCAATCCATGGCACGACCTCTAAACCACAATAAATATTTGCCTTTTTTTTGGCATAGACTCATATTTTGCAGTATTGATTCTGACTAGGGGCAATAAGAAATTTATCACCTTTTTTAAAAAATGAAGCACCCAATGAACAGCAAACGATGTGTTAAAACATTTTCTTGCTTCAAGATCGATAAATCAAGTTCAATATTTCTAAAAAAAAATCTGTTTCCATGTAAAGTCTGGTGCTTTGAAATCATTACGTGAATTTATTATCAGAACTACCTTTAAAACCTTCTTAGTGCGTACTTGTAGTTCTAGCAATTAGATTGCCCGACATAATTTTCTTGGAATGCTAGTCTAAGCTCCTTTGGAGTTCTCTTCAATATTCCCTTCAAAATTCTCCTTTATATTCACCTATAATTTTCATCATAATTCTTATTCAATTTTCCTTAGCATTTACCCTGATAATGTTAACTAGGATGGAATCTTCCGTAGAGTTCATTTGATGCTCTCCTCGTAGCTTCCTTAGAATTCTCATTAGTTATCACCAGGAAAGGATGATACATTTATTATATCACGCTCCAAAGGGGAAGGGGATGTAATATTATGTGATAAACAATGCATTAGATGTAGAAAAAACGCGACGAAAGCGTAATTTTTACTTAATTTCACGTGACATAAGTAAAGCATGGCCCAACTAAGAGGTGATCGGAACTGCCTTGGAAGCAATCCTTATTTTTTTCTTGAAGTTGTCCTAAAAAAAAAATCCTTAAGATAATCCTCTTGATTTATTCCTAGAACTTCCTGCGAGAATTCTTTTAAGAGTGCGTCTAAAAAATTTAAAACAATCCTCGATGAAATTTTTTTCCATAAAACCACGAATGAAGATGTTTTTTTCAAGTCCTAAGAACCAAAGCAAATTTTCAACGGCTCCGGTGGTGTAGTGGTAAGCGTGATTACCTCTCACCCCAGCAGGCCTGGGTTCAATCCCAGTCGGCGCCGCCGGGATGTTCTGAGGCATAACATCTCTGATCACGCCTTCCTTCGGATGGGAAGTAAAGCCGTTGGTCCCCGGTTCATGAGTTGATGGGTCGATAGGTAGGGTCCAGGTGTGGAAGCTGCCTTCCTGGCGTCGGTAGTATTGGTGCTCAGCACGGAAAACAAGATCGACGGAAAAAACAAACCAAAGGAAAAAAAAAGCAAATATTCAATGTTTTGATATTTGCATGTAGGTAGAAGTTCTGAGAACACCAACGTGAGCTCTCGTAATTCTGAAAGTTCTTTTGGAGATCGGAGTATTAAAACCGATGATGGAGTTTCGAAAACTACTTATTTTATGTCAGATTCTTTGAACTACTCTGCAATGTGTATTTTTTAGAAAATGTTCAACATGTTTAAGAAAAGTAGTTTTTCTCATTTTATAGAATTCCGTTTATATGTTACTTAGAATTTATGGAATTCCCAGCCCTACCAGAACTCTAGTAATCTTCTAGTCTCTTAAACTAATTCTAAACCGTATATTGGCACTAAAACGTTATGGAGGGTAACATTTTCGAAAGTTTTTGCTCCATAAGTTACGACAGATGCCATAATTCCCGAACCATTTAAGAGATCCAAGAGTTCTGAGTACTTTAAGAATTCTTAGAATACAAGAATTACGCAGTAATTACAAAGTATGGACAAAAAGTGAAAAGAAAATTTAGGATTCTATTAATTTCTATTTCTCAAAACCTTGAAGGAAATATAATAGGCAGTATGAAAATAATAATTGAAAAATATCTGATTCCACTTAATTAATTTCAGTATTCAGTTGGTAGTCGATATACGTATGGATACCAACATTAATTTAGTGAATGGAAGATAACGTTTTCTGCTGTTTTATTTAAGCATTTAGCTAACAACCCACTACTTGAAAAAAAAATATGCCGTTATTTGAATGGAACAAGGCCCTGTATTGTATTCGACGAGTAACAAACGCATAAAGTACGGACCTGGCTTGCTGTCAAGAGAGGTGAGAGGTTGAGAGAAGTAAAGCCGGGTTTAGATGAATCATTTCAACGTTCAACTCACTTGATCTGTTGGACTCGGACTTGCTTTATTCGATCTCACCTTAATTGGGTTTGAAAAACTTATCGCTCTTTGTGCATCATCTGAAAGAGCTTCGTGTTCTGAGCACAACGATATTTTTTCGTACGTAACTAACAAATTGAAAGCTCACTCCCATACAAAGTCCCACCGAGGGGCGCTAAGATGGTAATGCTTGCTAACGTAGTCTCACTTATTTAAAATACTTTCAGTATACCAAAATTGAAGATTTTTTGGATTTCAGTTCCATTTCTAAAGCATAAAATAACCCTTAATGGTGTATTCAGATCTAAGAGGGAACTACAGTAATGATCCGATTTTGTCAGCCCCCTTTTTGAAACCATTTTCTAATGTTCTCGAAACCCATGCGCTTTTTCAGTGGCCTTATTGCACCAATGCATACCTTAAACATCCATCTTGAAGGTGAATGAGAAAGATTTGGAATTACGGTGATGTGAAATTATTAAAAAATAAAAGACTGATGCGCGGAGGGGCTTGCAAAATCGGGTCATTACTTTAGTACTTTTATCTCTCTCGTACTTTCGCAAAATCTCGCCCTGCGCGTGAAATATCGCTCAGAATGGAATTCACCTTAAAGAACCCCATTGTAAGACGATTTCCAGAACGGGGTGAGTTAAATTCAACTCACTTGCCTCATCTGAACCCAGCTTAAGCGAGTGAAAAATTTGAAGAGACATGTGTTCGATTCGGCTTGTTTCGTCATCGTCACCGTCAGTCATGTAAGTGAACGGACGATGAGTAGACGCTTGCGAATCTGATCCTGTGAGGAGTGAAGGTGAAAGTCAGTTCAATTTACGATTACACCAAAATAGGTTAAGGCTGTGAACCAATAGCCGAGTTAAATTTAAATCGTGGCTAAAAGTGACATTTCGAAAGTTATTTTCCATGTTTGAAAGTCCATGTGTTATCGATCGACCGATTTTCGAGTAGAACTCAGTCACGGTTGTCAAAATCTAACTTCTTGAGTGTCAGAAATAACCACGCTCTGTTAGCAGGGTTATTCCTAAGAGAAGAGGTGACAATACGGGGGCGAAAATGAACCACTTTTTTGTCAAACGTGAACCAGCTCCTGATTGGCCGATTTCATGTGCGTAAAATAGAGATAGAGATAGATAAAGATAGAGTTAAAGATAGAAATAAAAGAGCAAGAAGCCAATTGTCACCTCTTCCTCTTAGGGTTATTCGATAGCTTTCCATCAGTCACTTTTAACGACGAGTTTAATTTAACTTGCCGATTGCGACACAGCCTAAATCCCAATCTTAGAGTACCCCGATGAATAAGATTTGAATCAACAATCGTAACACAACTTAAGATCTCAAACATGTTTAAACATGTGAAATATCATCAAACCATGGTCGAAATGGGTGCATTTCTCCTACAGACTGAATGCGCTACATTCTTATCTGAAGATTTATTGTGCCTTTAACATAACCAATTTTGCATTTACTTCTTATCGGGAGATAACGTGTTCCCTGCATTCCGCAGAAATGCACAAAGCACCCAAACATTGTCTCTACCAATTTGACTAATTCTCATTTTTTTTTCGTCTCCCTATCATCTCATTTCAGGACCCCACTCAGTCACGGATACCACGGATCGGCAGCACCACGAGCAGTAGAATCCCAGTTCCCGGATCGATTCGACCTTTACAAGCACGATTCCACCAGTCAAAACTAGCGAAACCCTCCTCGATCCCACCACCGACGACCCCGTTCGCCACTCCAGCCACACCGGCACCGAATGGCTTCCTGAGGCCTCTCAGGTCTGCAGCGGTCAGCATCGCCCGATCCTACTCCGGGGACACACTATGCGGTGAACTTAGCCCGCTTCCGGCTCTAGCCGCTTCCACTCCGGCCCCGGCGCTGAAGCCCACCAGCGGATTGGAGTTCTACCGAAAGCTGGAGCTGGCATCAACCGAAAATCTGCATGATACATTTGCCGTTGCGTCATCGCCGTTGTCATCACTATCTAAGCGAGGCCCTGCTGCGGTGGATTACAACGATGACGGCCTTATGCTGGTAGACGAATCGCTGGAGCTGGTCCGTGCCGATAGCACAGACAATATATTGCTGACAGAACTTCAGAACGGCAGCATCAACATGTTGAAACCTGCGTCCAGTAACGAAACCGTGACGCTCAACTGCGACGGAAACGTCACGTATGAGGTCAAACGTAGCGAAACGTTTGTCAAGTTGTCCCAGGAGTCGCTGAAGCTCGGCGGTAGTCGAGAATCATTGAACCGAACGAGGGGAGCGTCATTGTTTCAGAGTAGCAGCAAATCGAGTGGCGAATCGCCGATTTTTGACAAAACACATTCTGTTTTGATTGATTTGGGAGATGGTAAAGGAGCATTCTGTTCGACAATGGTCTCCGATCGACCGATGAACGTCACACAAAACATTCCAAATATTACTGCGGAGATGGAAGCTTTGCCGCACATCAAACGGCAAAGTTTACTGTACCATACTAATGAAGTGCTCAGCCCGGATCGGCTATTATCTGCGGAGTCGATGACTCCGCAGCGTCCCACTAGACTGACGTTCAATCTGAACGAAACTACGAATCTTTTGCACATTTCTGACCCGGTGGCGATATTGAACAAGACACAAGTTTTCAGTTCAACTATGCACTCGCCTCTGGCTGTAGGGTCGATCGAGGATGTTTTAAACGTAACGAGGGATATCCAGGGATCCAGTTTGGTTGCCGCGATGCATTTGGGGGTGCCACTTGACGTCAGTGCCGGAGATCGAACGTTAACGGCGGAGGATTTCGAAGGAGGTCGACTGAAGTTAGGTGAAACCATGAATATGGATGACGGCGGAGCAGTGAGGGATATTTTTGATCTAAGCTTAGATGAGCCGCCTTCCGTCGGGAGGGAAGAGGTGCCAATACGGCCCATTGAAGGGAGAACTTCAATTCCAGCCAGACAGCGATTTTCGTTTGGGCTAGATTTGACGGAATGTACGTTGGATTGTTCGATTGAGCTGTGCGATTCGTCACTGTCATCGACCAAACCCCATATTAAATCCCCCGTTTCGACCAGTTTGACGAAGCAAGGCTCGTTCGAAATGGACGAGAGCTTGGGAATTTTGACACCGGATCAGATGAAGGAATTTTTAGACTCTACAACTACGAATACAAACAATACGAACAATTTGGAGCTCCAGTTGAATACCGGTTCCCACAAGCATGGTCTCCATCATTGCCGGATAGATCAAACTCCATCGCCGGAGGAGCTCCCATTGGACCCGGTGGGCGTCAAAACCGACATGTCGGACATTATTCTACCCTCGGAGATCCTTTCGAATGCCGGACCGATCATGTACCAGGAAATATCGCAAACTGATTCCGATTCGAAGACGGATCAGATGACGAAATCTGCCACCTCCAAGGTGTCCAACAGCTTTATAACGAGCATCACAAGCATCACCAGTTTGGACACCGGGTACCAAGGTGATGGGGAAATGTCCCGTCCAGCAAGTCGCGGAGCCGACCACTCCCCATCGAATGGGCCGAAGATCAAGAATCAAGCCGCAGGTGTTTGGAATGTTCCAGCGGCTCAGCCAGCTCCTGTTCCGCGACGACCGGATCCGATGACGGATAGTGATTTCTTTACCGAAAGTGATGCCGATGATGTGTTCAACCGGGGAGATCGAAGGGCGCAGATAATCGATGGCCAACTGTACGGACCGATGCTGCAGGGGGCTAATGTATTCATAAATCAACAACCGCAGAATGAAGATTCGTGCATGGAGTCGAGTGGTATCTTTACGGATGTGGAAAATCGCGGGGAGGATGATCTCGTGCATAGAAGGTCCGAGAACGAAGACCAAGTGGATCGTGATGAAGCCGAGAATTCCATGAACGGGGTAGGTCAACTGGTTGGAGATAGCGATATGAGCCCCGACGTATCCACTGATACGATCAGCAGTAGCAATACTGCTTGCAGTCAGAAGAAGGTGATTCCGGCGAACGCGGGGAAGATCGAAGGCGGTGCTAATTGTTTACAATGTGCTTCAATGGATCCATCAGCGAATGCAAACGCCTCATCACCTGCACAAGTCGTGGAGAAGAGCTTCGATGGACCAACGCCGCCGGAGAGTGACGTCACTAAACACGTTGTCACACCTTCGATAAGTGGTGGCGCCGCTAATACAACAGCGACGTCGCAGATCCAACCGTCACCGTCGGTAACCTCTCTAGTGAGCGACGTCGACAGCCGAAACGATAGCGAAAACATCGCCGTTGGTATTGGTGCTAGCAATAAAGCCGAGAGCGCAACCAACATCACCATCGTCCGAGCGGGCCCAAATGCTAGTAGCAGTACCGACAGTTTGTCTGGCGCGCCCGTCGGTAGTGGAGGTATTAGCAGCAATAATGGTTGCGGCAAAAAGCCCGGCTCCAGTCGTAAACAGCAGAAAAACGAAACCAATTTGGTGCTGAAAAAACATGAGATGTCGTCGCGCGCGGTCAAGTCGCGCCTCTTCAAGGAAAGCCCCGTGTCGAAGGCGTCGCGTAGTGTCGGTGGAAGTGCCCTGAATCTGGACATCGAGCATGAGTGCGAAAATCAGGAAAACAAGCGTCCCACCAGTGCGAATCGCGGTGGCTGCGGTGGTGGCCCTCGTGCTAGTGGTAGTGTCGGAAATTTAAGCTTTACGAAGAAATCAGCCACCCCGAACAAATGGGACGCAGTGATGAGTAAAATTGCCGAGAATAAGGCGGTGATCAAGAAGAATTTCAGTGATGTGAAATCGAAAATCAGCTGCGGAAAAACGGTCGTGTCGACGTCTTCGTCGTCCCTGGTGGCAGGGCGGCGTCTGGATTCGCCGGCGTCGCTCAAAAGTCCACCGTCCGAATGTAGCAGTGTGGGCAATCGGAGCATCGGTGCCATTCCGATGACCGGTGCCGGTGGGAAGCGGACCATTTCCGGATCGGTGAAGCGGTAAGTAGCTAGTGCTGCCCTTTTGCTATCAGCTGGTTCCAATTTTGCTTTGTTATGTAAACAGAGGCTTGTTTTCAATTCAAGTCAAACATGGATAGGTCTAATCAACCATTCAAATCTAGTCTGGTGGATTCACGTGGCTGGGATTACGATAAGGTTTTCTATAGGCTATAATGCGATGTTTTGTTTTCGAGTAGATTTGAACATTTGTCTACACCGTCATCAGATGATTGGGGCGCGATTGAATGAGAAACGTTTCGATGAGCGTGATTTGTGTTTTTGTTGTGATTTTCGTTGATCATGCTCCGCGGAATTATCACAATGCGGCTAAACACGGTGCTGAAAATTAGCTTGGGCATGGTTGAGAGGTTTCGCTTCGCATGCGGTGGCCCGTATGCACCATCGTAAGTTTTCTCTTGCGAGAAAGGTTTTATCAATTTAATGCGTTTCACTAGAAATACTCAAGAGATGAGCGTAGAAAATACAACATGACATTTCGATTCGATCTAATGTAAGTCTTCTTCTTCTTCTTTTTCTTCGTATTTCAAGCTTATTGCATATCTTATTGCGTGCTTATTGCGTGCTCTCAACTTAGTGTTCTAGATGCACTTCCACAGTTATTAATTGAGAGCCTTCAATGCCTGTACCATTTTTGCATTGGTATAATTGTGTGGCAAGTCCAATCATACTTCTATGCCCAGGGAAGTCGAGAAATTTTCCAACCCGAAAAATTCCTAGACCGGACCGGGAATTGAACCCAGCCACCTCCAGCATGGTCTTGCTTTGTAGCTGCGCCTTTACCGACTGAGCTAAGCGAGGCCCCAATCCTATGTAAGTGTGGGACGTAAATAATATACATAGATCAAGTAATGATCATAGTTGGAATTTTGATGTTGATTCCATAAATGGATGGATGGATCTTCAGAATAATACTTGGTCATTGTCTTGACAAAAATAGCCAAAGTACCTTACGCTGATCTTTAAAAAATTGAAGGATTTTGGAATAATTTCTGACTATTCTGCTATTTTGCGAAAATATCTCAGAGCCATTATTTGATCTATTGAACAATTGGAGATCTTCAGAATAATTCCTTATCAACCTTCAGTATTGAGAAATGGTCCAAAAATCAATATGGAGAACTTTGATCCACTGAAGAATTGGAATATTTTATAATCATTCTTCATTCTTCTGTCTTGAGAGAATATCTTAGAAATCTGAATTAATTTATTGATCAATTTGACACCTACAGGATAATACCAGATCAACGAGAAGTCTTGACAAAATATCCAAAGATCTTTTTGGAGATCAATGATTAACTTAAGTTCTTTGAAATAAATCCTGATCAACCTGATTCATTGACAAAATATCCAGATGCAATTATGCAGTTCTTCGATCAATTGAAAAAAATTTCTTAGAAACATGATTTGAAATACAGAATAGTTGAAGATCAACAAACTAATACTTGATAAACTAGTAGTCATGAATATTTATCCAGAGGACATCATTGATCTATTGAACGTTTTTGGAATGATTCTTGATCAATCTGCTACCTTGCAAGAATATCTAAGACATGACAAGATAATCATTAATCAACAAGAAGAATTACCAAAATATCCAGAGAACATTATGCAGGTATTTGACCAACTGAAGGACATTAGGATGATTCAGGTTCAACCTGCTTTCTGAAAAATACGTGATATTTGAATTGCTAGACAGAAGAGAGAATTGGCAAAAGCGTGAATTGCAGTAAATCTACAGTGTTCAAGATTGTTAAGATGTTTGGAGAAATCTGTTCTCTTGAAGATCCGAAATCTGGGCGTAAAAGGGGGTATCGAACCAGAAAAAGGAGCTGGTAGCAGTACGCTGTTTGAAATCACATAAACCGTGTTTCGTTCGTGAAATTACCAAAAAATAGACATTAGCGTCGCCAGTATATCAAAAAACATAACAATATCAGAACCTACAGGAAGCAAGAAGCACCCAAAAGGACGAATTCACAGAAAGCTTCTTCAAAAATATGGTTTTGGAACTTGTATGACGTTCTCCTTCAAAAGCCGAACCGGTGCATTTTAAAGGACGATGAGACGTACGTCAAATTGCATACCAGTACACTTCCCGGGCGCAATTTTTCAACGTTGAGCAGAGGACAGATGTGCCTGATGATGTGCATAAACCGTGTTTCGTTCGTGAAATTACCAAAAAATAGACATTAGCGTCGCCAGTATATCAAAAAACATAACAATATCAGAACCTACAGGAAGCAAGAAGCACCCAAAAGGACGAATTCACAGAAAGCTTCTTCAAAAATATGGTTTTGGAACTTGTATGACGTTCTCCTTCAAAAGCCGAACCGGTGCATTTTAAAGGACGATGAGACGTACGTCAAATTGCATACCAGTACACTTCCCGGGCGCAATTTTTCAACGTTGAGCAGAGGACAGATGTGCCTGATGATGTGCGATCCATCCAAACCGAAAAATTTGAAAAAAAAAAAGTTTTGGTGTGGCAAGCCATTCAGCGTTCGCAGATTGTTTTAAAGCTATTAAAAAATCGGTATTTATCGGTTTTTACTATTTATTTAATTTTATATTTTTGCCATTTTTGAAAGCGAAAATTTTAACGGTGGGATTTGAGGGGAATTGCTTTGTTTGACGGCTTTCTCAGTCTTAAAACACTCTTTAATATATTTAATTTTATTTTTAAAATTATCGTTGTCCTCAACTGGTGATCAAAATTGTTACCATGTAGTGTTTTTTTTCAATTAAATATCATTAAATAAAACCAAAATATGGAAAAACAGCCGCAACAACGACTAAACTATTGACAATAACGACAAACAATATTTTTCCTTGAAAAAAGCCACAACCTATGGCCGAAATGTCGGTATGATTACATCGTAGTCGTTGCAGTGGTTTAAGACTGAGAAAGCCGTTATTCAAATCAAAATTTTAGCTTTTGAACTATGATCGGAAAATTCCGGAAGAAAACTCCGGGAATGTTTGAATTAGCTTCTGAATGGAGCTGAAAAAACATCCAGAGAAAAACGAAAGAAGCTCTCCTGGATGAAGTTCGAGAAAAGCTGGAAAAACCTCCGGGAAACTTCCGAGACACGAATTGAGGAAAAATTGCGGCGAAAATTTAAATAAACTAACGGAAAAAAAATCGGATACCACATCCAAAGGAAGCCAGAAAAGTTTCGAAAACCGGAGGTAAATTTCCAGAAGTAGCCATTTCCAGGGAAAGCCAGAAGAAGCTCGGAAAAACCTTCCAATATAAGTCGAACAAAAAAACCTTTGGCTTATGGTCAAACTTCCAGAAGAAGAAGAAATAAATTTCTGGAGAGGCTGACAGAAACTTCCTAAGGTAGATTGGAAAAAACATCTGAAGAAAGTCGGAGGCCAGAGCGCTTACGGAACAGTCGAAAGAAACAAGGACATAATTCCGGAAGAAAGAGATTCCTGGAGGATGTTCTAATGATCCAGAAAATTTTTCTGATATTCAAAAAACATCCCTGAAGACTCCCTGAAGTTTTCGGAAGATTCCTGAAATGCATTTAGGAATATTCTATAATTCCTCGAAATTCCTTAAAAGTTTTTGTAATTTTCCTGAAATTAGGGACTGTTTTGGAATTCTCTGGCCATCCTCGAAGCGCTCGGAACTTCCCTGATTATAATAAGGCTACCGAAATATCTCTCATCATCTTAGAAAGTCTCTGAACTTTCTTGAAGATTACGAAATCGCTGAACTGCTCTCACAATTTACTTGAATTTATTGTAACATCAGCATAACATTGCAGTTCTCTGATCTTCCCGATTTTTTAAATTTTTAAAAGCTATCGACACTGCATATAACTTCCCATAAAATGTTCTCACAATGATCTTATGTTCATTTAACTTCCCTTACGAATCCTAAATTTGCATGGACATTGCTGAAGTTTTCGGAAATTCCCTGAGTTTCTCGGAACTCCTTTATAATTTCAGCAATTTCCCTAAGTAAATTAATTCATATGTCCTGATGTTCTCTGAGCTTCACTAAAGTTCATGAAAACCATTAAATTTCCCTGAAGTTCTTTGAACTAGTGAAGTTTCCAAAATATATATGATGTTTCCTTCAGTTCACTGGAGTTCGCTGAACTTTTCTGAAATTTCCGGGTTTTCGATTTTTTTTTAATGAAGCTGTCTTTAATTTATCGAAACTTACACAAAAGTCTGAACTTTTCTGAAGTTTCAGAACTTCTTAAATGTGTCTGCAGCTAGTGTGGATCCGCAATAAAAATCTGATTGCATCCTTATAGCTCCGGGAAAGTTAAAAAACCTGGCGGGAGACGATGAAAGATTCATTCGAGCGAAGGCTGAAGAAGCTTCCAATGTTATGTGGAAGAAAATTCCAGGGAAATCAGGAAGTCTAAAAATGAAAAAACTTCCGGAAGTTAAATAATGTTCAAAATATATTTCTCGATTCCCTAGGAATTACCAGTAAGAGCCATCGACTATTTCTCGATGGATGGGTAGCCAAACACAGTGAGGAAATACAAACATTAGTCGAAAGAGTATCAAGCATAAGGCATCTTTAGAGATGATTGCTTAGAATTTTTGAAGGCTAAAAAAAATATGAGGTATTCAAGAAGATACAAGTCTCTCACGAAAATTTTCTCCATAATTCGAGCGCGAGCAGGCAATAATTTAAATAAATTTAAATAATTTTGATTATTTAAAAAAAACGGTATAAAATCTTAAAAATCGGTATTCTAACGAACCTTATCCGTATATCGGTATCTAGTTTGGAAATCGGTATAAATACCGATAAATCGGTATATCTGGCAACGCTGGCCATTTGCTCCTGTGGCTTGAAGAGTTCTTCTTATTTCTCAACGGGCACAATCAATGGAGAAAATTACAGAAAATAATGAATCAAAAAACGGCTTCTACCCATCTACCGAAAGCATACTGATCCTCCATTGTTTTGACCGGATCTGGCATTTGCTCACTTTGATTCTGCT